GAGCTTCGTCCAATTATTCGGGATCTTCAAATCCACTCCCACCACCTTCACCTGGAATGGCTTTGGGGTTCTCAAAGAGCACATTCACTTATGAAGAACTGGAAAGGGCAACTGATGGCTTCTCGGATGCCAACCTTATCGGACAAGGAGGTTTTGGCTACGTGCATAGAGGGATCCTTCCTAATGGGATAGAGGTCGCTGTTAAGAGGCTAAAATCTGGCAGTGGGCAGGGTGAGAGGGAATTTCAAGCTGAGGTGGAGATTATTAGCAGAGTGCACCACAAACACCTTGTTTCTTTAGTTGGATACTGCATCGCTGGCTCTCAGCGAGTGCTTGTCTATGAGTTTGTGCCAAACAACACCCTTGAATATCACTTGCATGGTAAGCTTGTGCGCATGTACTCTCTCTGATCCTTATTATATAAGACATCTTTTAAAGGGAATCAATAGTCCTCTTTATTAGAATCGTCAGACCATAGTAAGTCTTTTGTCTATGTTTATTTTTAGAAGGCATAATAAAAGATAAAAAGAGGCAAAATTTTGATGTCATAATATTTTTTTTTAAAACTCCGAGAGAATTATTTCAATTTCTTGTTTTGTGAAAATTATAGCAATGCCTAGATGTCATTCATTTGCTTTGAAGTTCATATGGCTTCTGCTGCTTGTTGTCATTGTGACACGTTCTTAATTAAGTTTATTGGTGTTGTACTTAAAAAATGTTTATGTTTTGTGATAGTTCTGCTCCCATCAGATGCTCTAGCATTTTGTGAGCATTATTTGTTGACTGATGCTTCTTATGATAACTTATTGTATACCACAGGGAAGGGAAGGCCTCCATTGGATTGGCCCACACGACTTAAGATTGCTTTAGGGTCTGCCAAAGGACTGGCTTATCTACATGAGGACTGTAAGTTCTGGTTATGATGCATACTCGCTTTTTTTTAAATGTTGATGCACTTGAATCTTCATCTTGTGTTGAAATCATATTGCGTTTTTAAAATTGAATATTTTGTAGGCAATCCAAAAATCATTCACCGTGATATCAAGGCTGCCAATATACTTCTGGACTTCAAGTTTGAGCCTAAGGTAGTTTCACATAGATGATATTCTGTTCAATCGTACTGCTCTCTTTGGACATAGTACGACTAATTAGTAACACCAGAGATAATAACAATCAACTGGTTTTGTGCTACTATTACTGATGTATGAACTTTTCTCAGGTGGCTGATTTTGGACTTGCAAAACTCACTTCTGATGTTAACACTCACGTTTCAACACGGGTTATGGGCACGTTTGGGTAAGAACCATCTCCCCATCATGTATATTTCAATCAATTTGAGGTTGAGAAGTAACATTCCATTTTCCATGCTCTTTTTTTCACCATTTGTGTTCATAATCTTTTTTAACAACCCATAGGTACTTGGCTCCTGAATATGCTTCATCTGGGAAACTTAGTGAAAAATCTGATGTGTTCTCATTTGGAGTAATGCTTCTAGAGTTAATTACTGGACGCCGACCTGTCGACTCTAATCAAGCCTTCATGGATGATAGCTTGGTGGACTGGGTGAGTTGATCCCCCCCCCCCAAAAAAAAATCTAGTGCATCTCACTATTTCTCTATTCGTCTAATCGTGTGTACATTTTTACAGGCAAGGCCTTTACTGACTCGTGCTCTGGAAGAAGGAAACTTTAATACTCTTGTAGATCCACGACTAGAGGATGATTACAACCACAACGAAATATCGCGTATGATTGCTTGTGCTGCTGCTTGTGTCCGTCATTCAGCTAGACGTCGACCTAGAATGAGCCAGGTAATAATAAACCTACCTCTTGGGCCAAGGGCCCTTATGTACCCAAAAATTCTCATTATTTCCTAACTTATTTGAGCTTCAATTGGTAGCCGTTTTGGCTTATGCCGATGGTAAATATGCGTACCATGTCATTAATTTGGAGTATACTTTGGAATGGGATAGGTTGTGAGGGCCTTAGAAGGGCAAATGTCATTATCTGATCTCAATGAGGGAATCAGGCCAGGGCAGAGCACGGCGTACAGTTCGTACGGAGGAAGTTCAGATTATGATACAATGCAATACAATGAAGACATGAAGAAGATGAGGAAGATGGCACTGGGAAGCCAAGAATACAGCACTGGCCAGTACAGTAACCCTACCAGTGAATATGGATTGAATCCATCCGGTTCCAGCAGCGAAGGCCAAGAAATGACAATGAAGAAAGAAAGCAGTGGGTACAGCGGAAGGTAGCGGCTTCTCAGCTCATTCATTCATTCAATGAAATGTGTATTATAAATATATAAATAAATTCTACTGCAGGCTAATTCTTCAATCTCTTGGTAGTTAGTTAACACATCAATTCTTTCTTCCCCCTGAGTTTTGTGTGATTTTTTTTTTGTAAATTTTTTTCCCTCTAAATTGTTGTATTTACTGTTAATTCATGCAAAAGAGATGAGGTGTTGCTTTAATTCTTTGCTGTTCATAAATATTTAATTGGTTGGTATGTTTGTGAAGACTTATTGGGCCATTTTTTTCTTCAGTGTTAATAATATAAGTAGTATTTTGACAGTTGGGTTTGAATGAACGACAGGTAGGTACATGTGTTGGAGAAAGGCAAGTTAGTTGTCTCTATTTATTCTTTGGATAATCTTGACTTTGCACCCTATAGTTATCCTAGCATTGGACTTATGGATGAATCAAATTCGAATACGACCCTAATCAATTCGCTCGATCTTAAAATATCTGAATTTGATCCAATAAATTAAAACTCGAATTGTATTGAGTTGGATTTGGGTATTGCTCATAATCGTTCACATCAGTTTGAATTTGACATAGTGTTTGTCAACACGTATGCGTGTATTTATTTGTATTTTATAATAGAAGTGTGTGTAAAAATCATACAAATGTGCATGATATGGGTATAGATGAGTATAAATTTGGACAGCAAATTTCTTGTATGCATTTTATGATTAGTAGTGATCAATAACTAAAACTTTTAGTTATTGATTGAATAGGAATTGAATTGGAATTGAAATTCTATGGGATTCAATTCCATAGAATTGAATTCACCAATTCCAATTCATTTTTTTTGCACTATCAATTCCAAATTCACATAATTTTTGTGCTATCAAGCACCAGAATTGGAATTTAAGTCCTCAATTCCAATTCCAAAGTTTGAATTCTGTATATCAAACGGGGCATTATGTATTTTTAAAATTTGAAAACAAAAATCAAAATAGCATATTAAAAAATATACTCATATATTGAATTTAGGTATAATAAAACTCAACATCAATACTACCTATTGTCATTCCTCATTGGATTTGTCATCCCCTTTCCTTGAATTTTGATTCACAAATCACAATTAAGGTTTGAAATTGGTTGGTTGGTGGGGCTTAATATATAATACAACTATGTCTATACACACATACACTAGTCAAGAAACATGCATGATCTCTTTCTTTTCTTCATGCACATGTTAGTAAAATCATTGAAACAACTCACTCACATGTATGGTATGGGAGAGGACTTATCATTCCACCATAATTGAAAAACATCAATATAATATGGGTCTCACCTTTCTTTTTACTTGTCTAATTGCTATCCAATTATGGTTATGCAATATGCACACTCCCTTTTTTAACATTTTTTTAAAATACAAATTTAACTTTTTTTCACAATTTGAATTATTTGAACCATTTAAAAGTTTAAATTTTTTATTCAATACAGAGTATCTTTTACTGTTTTTATCTCTTGTTTTTTTATATTTCATTATTTTTGTCTCGTACCTAATAATATTGGTCTCATATTCCTTCTAATTTTTTTTTGTTTTTTGATATCAAAATAAACTACATAATATTACTTTTCTTAATTTGCATGTCTTGAAAATAGTGAGTCAAAGGAGCGATAGCTTTTATTAATGTTAATTGAAAATAACACTTATAAGAAATGTAACATTTTATTATGTTACTTACTGTACTTTTTAACTTTTTGTATCTAATAATATAACAAAGTTAATGCTAGATTACTTATGTTTTATTCATCTGATTAAAATATTTTGGTTTACTCTGAAATATATAATTTTAATCTGAAAACGTTTGTTCGTGTTGATAAGATATATAGTAGCTTCTTGTGAAAAGTCATTTCTGTAATCAATTCTTACCATTTTGTTTTTTTTCAAATTATTGTCCAACCAGTTCAGACTTAATTTTTTATGAAAGGTTTTAGATAAAAGAAAAAAAGCATGAAAACACCAAAATAAAAGTTTTAAGTCTTTTAAGATCAAAATAGGAGTTCAGACTATCATTATTATACTGAAACACTCACAATTTATCTTTACAGTGTTTCAATTTATCAATAAAAATAACAATTATTTATTTAGATTATGTTCAATTTATGTTCAAAGAATGTTACTGTTTGACAAAAAAAGTCAAAACATGAAGAGTTTTCTGAAACGGAGAAAGTATTTAGCAATTGTCTAATCAACATTTAAAATACCGCATACTTATATAAGTTTATAGATAAATGATAATAGTGTAATAATGTGTAATTTTTTAGACTAATGTAATTTGTTAAATTTGAGGTATTTTGAAAGTAAATCGTTATTAACATAAAATTAAGGTAAACACAAAATCGTGTTTAAAAAACCTAAAATCATGTTTTTAATGGATTATTCACACGAGATTTTCCTCTCGAAAAAATCTAAAGGTACCCCAAAATGGTGTATTCCAAATATATAACACATTTTCATAGAGATACATAGACACTCGTTGTCTGTGCGAAAAGTATAATACTCCCTTTCCTCTCTAGTCTCGACTTTGCCCTCAGCCACGAACTCAACCGCAGCCCAACCCGAAATCCAGTCCAGTCCGCAGAGACAATGAAAAACAAAAGTAAAGAAAAAGAGAGGAAAATACATGAAATGACGTGGACAAATTTGGTGCCACAAAAAAAAATCCCTTGTAGATTGTGTAAGGGTCTTGCAGTAGGATTGAAGAAAGAAGAAATCTGGAGTTTCCCTTTGTATGATTTCTCACAGTTTCTGAGCTGACCTCTGCTGCTCATCTTTACCATTTTACTGGTACCCCTTCTTACCACTTCAAACCCTGGCTTCTTTCTTGGAATTGGGGCTTATAATTTCAAGTCTTTCTAAATACCCATTGTTGTTCATCTTTTTTTTTATTGTTTGAACTATGAAAATGGCCCATTTATGTAATTCTGCTTACAGGATGAGCAAATTCTTGTTCAGAAGTTCATAGCTGTGTTTGCCAATTAGTAACTTTTACTACTAAGTAGCATCTCAGTGACTGCCTGTAATTGAGAAGTGTTTGGTTTGGGGAATAAACAGGAGAATCGAAGAAATTGGTGTACACTCATTTTGAATATTTGTTGCCAAGGTTTGTTTCTGAAGTGCATCTATTGGAAGTATTATTATAGTTGTCTTTCTTATGTCTCGTTTGGGAACAAGCTTTTCTATTAGCATAAGCCTTTTCGGTTATTTTTTAATGGTGTATATTAACTTTGAAAACGCTGAAGTTGTTGCCACATTTGTAGGGAAACGCTAAAGCTGGTGGCATACTAATAGGAACAACATATTTTTTTAATGCTAAATGATGCCGTTAGATAGATTTTTCAAAATGTTGAAGTTGTTGCCAAATGAGCCCTTAATAGAGCGATTTATTAGGACTCAAGCAAGTTAGGGGCAGTTTGGTAAGAGACACTGATCTGGAATTTTAACAAAAGTCCCTGGTGTGCCATATTTGTAGGAAACTTGCACATATTCTTGTTGGAAGACATGATAGACCCATATGGAATTTTGAGGTAATCCATAGAAAGAATCTAACGGTATGGGAGAATTTGGAAAGGAGGCAGAAGAGTCTAATAACAAAGGAGTAAATGTACGTTGTGCTGCTTGCCGGGAAAACAAAATTTGTCAGACAGTACGTTCGAAAACAAAGGTGATGAAGAATTTGATAGAGAGTGGGAAACCTGAAGATGTCGATTTGATAGTCAAAGGTCTAACAGAAGAAGGCCATAAGCTGACTCTTGTAACATATACTACTATGTTAGCCGCATTGACTCTCCAAAAACGTTTCAAGTCTATTCCTTTGCTTCTCAAGAAGGTGGAGCAGAACGGGTTGAGACCCGACTCAGTTTTCTTCAATGCCATGATCAATGCTTTTTCTGAGTCTGGAAATGTCAAAGATGCCCTTGGAATCTTCTGGAAGATGAGGGAGAAGGGATGCAAGCCCACCGTGGCTACTTTCAATACGCTGATCAAAGGGTTTGGGATAATCGGTAAGCCTGAAGAATCCTTGAAGCTTCTAGAGATAATGACAGCAGAAGAGAAGTTAAGAGCAAATGAGAGGACTTATAATATTCTCATACAATCATGGTGTAACAAGAACAATGTTGACAAGGCATGGGAAGTAGTTTATAAGATGGTCGATGCAGGTTTGAAACCAGATGTTGTCACGTATAACACCATAGCTAGGGCTTATGCACGGAACAAAGAGACTGGAAGAGCAGAGGCAATGATTTTACGAATGCAAAGTGACAAAGTGGGCCCCAACGCCAGAACGTGTGGCATCATTGTGGATGGGTACTGCAAAGAAGGCAATATGGTAGATGCACTGAGATTCTTATACAAGATGAAGGGTTTTGGCGTGCGTCCTAATCTGTATGTACTCAACTCTCTTATCAAAGGGTATGTAGACATTACTGACACTGTTGGAGTTGATGAGGTATACTATAGGAATTCATTGGCCTTTTGGCCCTGCAACTCATTATATATTACCTGCATATCTATTTCTTCTCTATTTTTTCAAGAAAATGTAGAAGACTGTGCCTCTGATTGGTAATTCTTAAAAATGTGCAGGCAATAACATTAATGGAAGAATTTGGAGTGAAACCAGACGTGATCACGTTCAGTACAATCATGAATGCGTGGAGTTCAGCTGGACTGATGGAGAAATGCGAAGAAATATTCGAAAACATGATCAAGTCCAGAATCCAACCCGATGTTCAGATATTCAGCATTCTTGCAAAAGGGTATATTCGCGCAGGGAAGCCAGAGAAAGCTGAATCACTCTTGGAACTAATGGGGGCCCACGAAGCGCGCCCGAATGTGGTGACATTCACCACAGTAATCAGTGGGTGGTGCAGCGCAGGAAAAATGGAGCGCGCTTTGCTGGTGTACGAAAGGATGCTCGCGATGGGCGTGCAGCCCAATTTGAACACTTTTGAGACACTTATTTGGGGGTATGGAGAAGCAAAACAGCCATGGAAAGCTCAAGAGCTGATTCAGAGTATGGAGGAGATGGGAGTTTGCCCAAGGGAGAAAACGTTTCAGCTTGTCGCGGATGCTTGGCTTGCCATTGGATTTGTTGACAAGGCTAAAAGTGTCAATCAAGGAGACATGAAGAAGAATAGTTTGTACCCAAGAAAACAGCGAAAGCCCGGATCTGTTATGAACATCAAGAACGGTTTGAGATGTTTGAACTTAAGAAGGATGAATTTGGCTGCTAAAGAAAGGCTAGCCATTAACAATAACTGTGGACTTAGATTGAAGACCTTTGTGGTAAGGCAAAAGCCACTCCACATCCAAATTGGTATAATGAGCATGTGAGAAAGCAAATTGACTGTTTTATTGCGCGTATAGATTACGGTTTAGATGATTCTGCCTACGTCCCCAAAAGAAATGCATGTTTTCCTTTTTAACTTTGATCTCATTCTTTTTTTTCTTTCTTTTAGCCCCACCCATCTTTTTTCTCCTCTTTCAACACCCCTACCCCTCTCTCCGCACACACCATTTTTTTTCTTTTTTTTCTTCTTTAATTCTTCAAGTGACCTCCCCCCCCCTCATTTTTTTATAAACGCAAGAGGGGCTGGAAGAAAAAGATGAGAAGAAACGGGGAGAGGTAGGGGTGGGAGGGGTCACTGAAAGAAGAAGATGAAGAAAAGTGGAGTTAGGGGCGTGGGGTTTTGGGGGGATAGGGCCTAGGGTGTTGAAGAATAATTAGATAAAAGAGAAAAAGGAGTCAAGTTAAAAGAAAGAGAAAAAAAAATGACTTAGCCTTGGTTCTCTTCAACTTATTTTTTTATTTATTAATTATTCTAATTAGATCGGATCACACCAAAAATAGCTTTAAATATAACTACATTAAGATCATACAAGATCAGATCAGAACTTATTGCAATCTGATTAAAATCAATCAGATTAGGGGAAGATAACATGGCCTTAGGTTGTGTTCTCTTCGGCTGATCTGATTCTTAAATTTTGGGAGAAGTATCGTCATAACACTAATATATGCTTAAAATAGCCAATAAAGCACTCCTATGAGATATTGGAACTCGTGTGGATGTAATTTTAAATTTATCTTTGTGTTCCACGCTGTCAAAATGTGTTTAAGTTGGTTAACACTTCCAGAACATTGGCATAACACACTGCTTTTATACCCAATTAAACATGTATCCACATTGCCAAAAAATGTGTTTAAGTTGATATACACTTTTAGAACATGGGCATAACATACTGCCAGAAAGTGTAGTTAAGTCTTGTTAAGCATAACACACATTGCCCAAAACATGGACATAACACACTACCAAAAAGTGTAAGCATAACATGATCATTCCACACTGCTAAAAAAGTTGGTAAACACTTTTAATTTCGTTTATTAAATGTCTTTAATCAATGAGGAATGGCACAACGGTTCTAAGTGCAACGTATAAGGAGTGAGAATAACTTTTAAATTATGTATCTCAATAAATATGATAAATGAAATAATTAAAATATTGTATTATACTCTGTAATAAAAGAGTATGATTGGAAGAGATCCACATCATAAATAGCCAAATGTGTGAAAAACATTAAGGAGTGCTATATGTGTAATAATAGATATCTTAGAGTGCTAAATAGGGTGATTCTTAAATATTTAAAGCTGATCTCATCTGATCTAAAAGAATCTAATCTGATCTGAATGAAATTAATTCAAATTATTATTATTATTATTATTATTATTATAATTATTATTAAATTAATAATAATTTATTATTAATTATCATTAATATAATACAATAATAATTTGTATTAATAATAATAATTATTTTAATTATTATAATTATAAGTTTAATAATTATATTTATTAATATTATTGTGATTATTTATTATTGTTACTAATATTAAGTGTTATGATTAATGATGACGATTATAATTATTAATTATAATTTATTATTAAAATAATAACAATAACAAAAATTATTTTTGTTATTTTTATTAATAACATAAAAATTACAATTTTTATTATTAGTAATTATTAAAATTATTAATTATTACTCTGTATTATTTTAGTTATTATATTTATTAATATTATAAATAGTAATTGTTATTATAATTAAGTGATATGATTAATGATGAAAATTATCAATTACTATAATTATATTTATAAATAAATACTATTATGAATTGTTACTTTTGCATATGTTATTCTTGACTTTTTACATCAGTTCTTTACCAATACAAAAATGGCAATGTAATTAGTGCAAATACTTTTTGCATAACCGATGCAAAAAACCTTTTATCAGTCCATATATCCTAAGGTCATTTGCATTGGTTACTTTGAAAGAACTGATGCAAAAGGCCTTCTCACTAAAATTGGGAAGGTCTTTTACATCAGTTACTCTAGAATCCACAATGCAAAATAATTTTTCAAGAAATTAGTGCCAAATTTGGGAAAGGCTTTTGCATCCATTATTCTAGAATAACTGTGAGCGTATATCATGTATATATTACTTATGTATATTATTCTGTAATATTTTATGCCTACATGTTGGGCTTGTAACATGAATTTATATCCTCCGGTATCAATGAAATAACCAAGTCATTTAGTTCACTAAATTCTACATGGTATCGGAGCAAAACCCTAGGACATCACGTAAACCCTAGGTCCGCTGCCAGTCTCGTCTCTCGTTCGGCGATCATCTACGCCGGTTGTCCTCGCCGGTCCGCTATATGTCCCTCACCGGTGAGCTGTTCCAGTCCGTTGTCTTCCTCGGCGTTACTCTCCCTCGTCCACGTTGTCTCTCATCATGTCAGCCGAGGCAACTCCCACGCCCAAGAGAACACGGTTGATCCATGATCCATCATCTATATATTATCTCCATCCCTCCAAAGGCCCCGGTAACTCTCTTACCAAATATTTGTTGAAAAGCGATAACTTCGACATATGGGAGAAAGCTATACGTAATGCTCTTGGTGGTCGTGGCACGGGGTCGAACAAAATTTTTGTCGATTTCAATTTTTTTTCAATGTAATATATTTTCCGGAATCAAATAAAATATATTTCTAACACGATTTTTAATCAATGAACAACGACAAAGTAGAATAAATAATATTTGAGGAACTGGAAGTGTACTCAAATTTTTTTTTTAATTCCAAATTTTTTAAAAGACTTTAGGGTACACAACATTTTTGGTATGGTTGTAAGGATTTCCATTATCATCTAGAACCAATATTTTTGATTATGTCTTTGTCTTCACTCGTGAAAAAGTAACATAAAACTAACCATGAGTAAATACTGAATTGGTTAAAAATAATACAACAAAAGACAATGTTTGACCTAGACTTTTGTTAATAGTGATAACAAAATATAATAATATTAAGAATTGTCTTCTCTAAAATTTCAAGGGCAGTCCTGAGTCAAATGACACCAAATTCATTCAGGGTATACAAATCTTTTTCCTAACTGATTTCCCAAAACATCAATTGCAGTGATAATGTTTTTTCTCAACTTCTCAACGATTAATCTTCTACCATTACACAATCCAGATATTTGGTCAATGTTCTTTAATGACATAATCTGTACCCCATTTTTAAAAATTATTTTGTGGTTTAGGATCCCGGAACATTTGATTTTATTAAAAAAACTGAAGTGTTATCCAAGTGTTAACTTTGTATGAAGAATCAAAAATTAAGTTTTCTTTTTCACCTCCTAGAATAAAGGATAAGACAAATTCATTTACCATTCAACAAACTCGAGCGTGAGTGATAATACTCCACTCTCCTTAAAAAAATAATTTTTCATGTTCTCTAGTAGATTCGGATAAGTGAACTCTATTGTTCTCTCGAGTGGATAACTTATTTCAAGAATCAAGAAATCAGGCAGGAAAAAACTTATTCCATTGATCACTTGACTAAATTTTCCATCTTCGACTTTGATTATCCAATCAGAAAAAACTACTATGTCACTATCCGTGCAAGAGAGTGTAGATTAATGCAATCTCATATTTTTGGTCAACGTATAAATTTTACAATACAACCACATTTGTGAAGAATTAGTGGTAGCACCTACAATTTCCACTCTAAAAGCTATGAGTAAAACTGATAGATTTAAGAGTTTTGTTTCTATCTCGGCAGATTATAAGCTCTGCAAAAAAAAAATTATTTGTTTCTATGCAGTACTCAATTAAAGAGTTTTGTTTTCATATAATGCATCAGATGGATTGATAGGTTTAAAAACTTTCTTTATATTCAAGTAACTTGATTCCACAATATTCACATTCAGTCAAATAAATTTCATTCAACAGGAATTCTTATTGTTTTTTTAAAACAATTTGTCGGTGACTCATGATACTTGGACGAACAATATTTTTTGCATATTCTCAAATCCTAACTTAGCAACCTTTTTAATACCTTCAATAAGTTATTTATAATCGGTTAATAAGCTCAATGCTTCACATGCTTCTATTAATGCGTTATGTAGAACATTGTTAACTCTTACATTGTTAACTCTTCTCAAGCTCTTATAACTTATACATCCTCGCTAGACAGTTGATACTATTCTCAAGTTGTATAACTCTCTAATTTCTAAAAGTACATATTGTAGCCTGTCTATTGATGGTGGTTTCTAGAAGCACATATTGTAGCCTTAATGAAAAATGAGTGGAATGTATTAAATGAGGTGAGTGAGGTGTAATAAATAAAATAAGTGGTGTAGTTGTGGTATTTTAGTTGTTAAAAAATGAAATAAGAAAATCTATTGTGGATAAAGAAAAAGATCTATTGAGATGATTTATGAGGAACAGAAAAAGTACTATATATTACTCCCTCCGTCCCAATTTATAACACCTGCTTCGGTTTACGATGTTTAATTAAAATTATTTTCAAATCATTTTATATGACAAATGGTATAGAATTAAACAATAAAAATTACATATTAAAATACTACATCAAAAGATTTACAAAAATAGTAGTCACAATAATATTTTATTTTATCAAATAGCTAATGAAAATAGAGAAAAAAAGTAAATGAAATTTAACCATGAGAATAGTAAACAGGCATTATAAATTGAAACAGAGAGAGTACAAAATAAAAAAAATTGGCAAGGGGGACAACTCCAGTACTCATACATGTATCCTTGCTCGAAAAATGCTAGGGGTACACCAAAAGTGTACCCCATTTGTCCCCCACCCCCTCCATTATCACAAAAATGGGCAAGAATTTTTTAAAAAATTAAATAAATAAAAAGTAAATAAAAATGGATGATGAAGAAGGGAGTGTGGGACAAATGGGGTACACCAAATGGTGTACCCCTAGCATTGCTCATCCTTGCTCCTATGTCCATTTGTCAATACATTAGAAAATATTCTATTTTGATTAAATGATTTAACTTTACGATAATTTAGTTAAAATTTATAACACAAACATAGACAACACACATATAGAAAAAACTGCAGGGTTGTGAGAACGGTGGGATAGCACTAAGAACTCTCTCTGGCATATATACATTGTCTAAGTGTAATATTAGTACTCCCTACATCCCTAAATATTTGTCACATTTGTATTCCCAAAATAAAATATCAACTCTTTTCAATTCTTTACTTACACATTGGTATAGAAATAAAAAATAAAATTTACATATAAAACAACTACATAAAAATTCTTCGAAATAAGGTGTTAAGAATATTTTATTTTATCAAATAATCAATGAAAATATAGAAATAAACAAAAGTTCTCACGACTGCTGAAAAAGCAAACGTTGCAAATAATTAGGGACGGAGAGAGTATTTTTTTCTTAAGTAAAAAAAAGTTTAATTGCATAGAGTTCAAATAAATATTAAAAAATTAAAATAAATAACTAAACAAAGTAAATTCTGCTGGAAATCAATTATGTGAATCCATTAATTATGAATAATTGGGACAACTTCAATTCTCAAAAGATGAATCCACATAATTGATTTCCATTAGAGTACACCATTATCTATCAACTAACACCGCTCGGTGATCAAACGGATGTGCTGGCTCTTCATCAGGAAAGGGAGCATTACGGTGAAGTCCGGTGTGGGAAATCACAATTTGACTTTTATTCTGTCAAATTCTCGGGTTCTTTGATAAAAATTAAACATAATTTTAAATAAATAATATTAAAAATTTTATTCAAAAATTACATAAAAAGAATTCACGCAAATACTATAAGAAATGAATTGTCTTCATTTAAATTCAATTAATTTAATAAAATCTTATTATTTAATTTTATAAAATGTATGTTCAAAATGAAAAAAATAAAAGTTTAAAGTTTCATTTTGAAACCCAAAGCTGCTTTGAAGCACCAAAGTTTAAGTTTGACGATGATTTGAGGCAAACAAAACAAATAAAAAAATTTGGAAATGCTGATTTGAAGCACCAAAGTTTCATCATTTTCAACTCAAACTTGTATAAATTTATTACAAATATTTATTTGATTTAAACAGTAGGATCCATCCACTATCCCAACTATCATACTGTTGTTCCCATGAGCAGAAGAAAAAATCCACAATGTGCCGGCCAGACATATGAGGAATTGAAAACTAATGTTAATAAGAGTAAAGTTCTTAAGTGCTTGAAACAACGATGATTATTCGCCTATCATTTCTGTAGGAGTATTATCTATCCATTTTCCCAACGTATTTTCAATCACAAGTATTTTCATGATCTTGCTTCTTCTAAAACGAAACCAAGAAAATGCTTGTGCGTAATTGAACACAAAATTTAATAAAAACATTTTCTGATGGTAAAAAACTAAACAAATAAAATAAAAAGTACTGAAATATCTAAAAAATTTAAGAAAAAAAGAAAAGGAATATGATAAACACCAAAGAACGGCATCAGTTCTCCAAGATGATCTTTAACTTCAAAGAGAAACTCAGACGCAAATTTCCCATTAGAAATGTGTTTCATCATCTGCCCAAAAACATATGAATCGAAAGGAAAATCCAAACGGTTATAAAATTAACAAAAATCTTTTTAAAAGAGGGAAAATTTTGAGTGATCAGAACCTGTTGGGATTCATATTACACATCAATCAAAAGAGTCAGTGGATTGACAGACAAACGATTTCTAGCATCACTTCACTCAACCAGAGATAAAAAAATTCAATACCAAGTAGACAAAAGAACCAAAATTAAAAGATCGGGAAAAAACAAAATCTGCAAAAGAATGAAAGGGAACAAACTTAGAAAATATGAAGATTTAAAGGAGATAAGAGTCATCAGATAGGAGCGAAAGACTATAAACGTTTTTGTAATCACAGAGATTATCAGTTGAACTATGCACGAAATCATCACCTGACTCTTCTTCTCATCGGAGGAATCAATAAGCAAAACAAACAAAAAAAGAAATCAATTTTCAGATAATCTGAAAGAAAAATGACGAATTCAGGGAGCCTCAGAAGGAAGGCAGTAGAACTGTCGTAATCACGAATTTTCATACACGCGATTCAACTAAATCATCACTGGCAGATTATATCCGATCGGAGAAAAAAAAACAAACACAGAAACCGCCCATAGCTTTTTCAGGCTTTCTGGAAACTATTAGGAATTGGGAGGAAGAAGACGGTGCTAAAGATGACTAGTGGTAGAGAGATGGGATTGAGTCGGAGAATGATGACGAGTTATATAGGGAAGGAAGAGGAGAGATATGGTGAGGAGGAGGAGGAGGAGGAGGAGGAGCTAGGGTTTGTTTTGGAGGGTTCGTTTCTCAGGCCAGGCGCGGCGCGGCGCCTCTTTTGGTGCAGAATGCGGGTGGGTATTTTTGGGCTATCCACTGGGCTTGGAAAGCAGAGAAACCCTTTTAATAAAACACTATTTAGTATTTATGTGTATTAATTAAATTTTAAAAAAATAATTATGCCAAAGTACTAACTCAAAACATTCTTTTTTTTCAACACAACTCAAAACACTATATTTTGTTTAGATTTAATCTTTTATTTTTTTTTTTTAGAAAAACTCGCATCGATACTTTCAAATTTGGTTGATAATACTCACATATTCTCTTTTACACGTCAATACTTCGAGAACTCAAAACTCATCAAAGTTTATATCGCTACTCCAATCTAGGTCAACCACTCAACCAGCTTCAAACTTAAAGCCTTAAAATTATTTTTGCTTATATAACATCAGAAATATTTTGTTGGCAACACATATATACAATAATTAAATTAAATTGGATGTCATTTAGAGTTTCTAAATAACTTAATGAAGCAAATCTAGTTGAACCTGGTGACATCCTCTATATTTAAAAAAATATTAATCTTTATTAAGTAATTAAGAAATGTTCAAATGATGTCCAATATATTTCTATTACCTTAGCCGTGTTGAAAATTTGTTATTTCAGATTTCACATCAACCAAAATAATGTCACGTAATTAATTTAAAACTGACTTAGGGAGACTAAAGTAGTGATGTAATTGAAATTTGGTGATTACTTGAAGTATTGACATGAAATAATAACTTGAGAGTGATATTGTATAATCAAACAAATCTAGAAGCATTGGTGTGAAAAATGAAACCTTTATATAGGATGAGCATAAAAATGTAGAACATTTTTGCGAGGTAGATGAAACATTTAATTTATGTGATTTTTATACATTGTTTATTTACAAGTACTTATACAATATGAATATCTTCATCTGAAGTGTAAATTCAATAGAATCAACAAATGAAGTAAAATTTTATTGGTATGTATTTTGAAAAGACATACAATATGATAAATAAAAAAGTGGAGCAGATAAAATATAGTTTTTATTCAAAAGAGTGAACCAGAAATACATATAATTTTTATTCAATTTTTTTGTTTGTATTTCGGAAAAGACATAAAAATGACATGTGACTTTTAGAGTATAAAACATCTTTCATTGGCCAACCACAAGCTCGATCTTGTGATTAAATTAGTTGACATTGTAATATGGTATTAGAGTTTTGCTAATCAAGATGTCATGATGTTAGTCGATATGCACAACTCTAGAGGGAGGAGGGTGAATAGAGTTTCTTGAGAATGTTTAACCTTTTCACATTCTGTGTAAATAAATGAACGTGCAGCGTAAATAAATAAGAGAAGACAAAGAACACACTCATGTATATTGGTTCACTACTTCGTGGCTAGTCCAGCTCTCCGGAAGACTCCCTCGAAGCTACTACTACTTATCAAACTTAACCGGGTGTTTGACAAATCGTTTATAAACATGAGTACTTAACTCGCATAAGCCTCAACACAACCACATAGAAATGCCCTCTACAGGACTTCACACCCAAGATTTGAGTCACATAGGTTTTGTACAACAAGAAGAGTAATCTTCTTCAACCTCACAACAAGAACTTTTACAAGAGTAAAAATGAGAAAATGATTATGATGGAAACCGCTTTTTCGGGGCGTCGACCCGATGAAATCGGTACCGGGTCGGCACCGCACCGAATAGCGAAATCCGGAAATTAAAAAAATAAATAAAGCAGAGAGAAAGTATTTATACGTGGAAACCCAAATCGGGAGAAAACCACGGGCCTTTTTAGGCGGAGCCATGCCAAAGGGGGAGGAACTTTTATTAATCTCGGGGGAGTTTACATATACATCATTGTAGGAACTTGGAGTCATTAATGGAGCTCCAAACTAAAAGAAGAAGAAGAATGAAGAATATAGTAGTAGGAACTTGTATGAATCTAGCCTTGACCTCCCCCTTCCGTCCTGCGTAGCCTTGTATTTAAAGAGGAGTACATGCATGCATCCCCAACAATGCCATGAGGTGGCCATGTCACCTCCATGTGCACATGTTTTGTATATGGGCTCCACGGAATATTTTTATATCACCTCAAATATATTCTTCTGTCCATATACCTCTGGTTCTGTCTTGAATAATTTATCTGATTTATATCTTGGGCCAGATAAAATTGGGCTTTCTTGTACTGTTCAAATAATATTGGATTAGGAAAAATCCCTAATCCATCAGATTAAGTTCTATGGAAGACAATAACACTTTCTTGCAAATAAATAGTTTTCTCTCAAAATAACTTAAGTAGAGGAAAGAATTGATAGAGGATGAAGACCACAAGAATGAGGTGTTTTTAGAGTGTTTCAAGTGTCTAAAAATGACCAAGGAAGAGAGTTTTAAATGGGGTAAAGAGAATATGTTCGTTGGTCCAAGAAAATAAAAGTTGGTGCTGAAAAATACACTAAAAATTGATTTTTTAGGCTGATTTTCATACTGTTGAATTCCAAAGCCAAAATATTGATTATTTCAGAAGGGAAAATCGGGTTTTATGGCGTGGGGAACAAAGATAAGATCCCAAGAAACATTTGCATAGGATAATGGGTCAAAGGACACTATACCATTGTTCCTTATGTGAGAATGTCTTGAAAAAAGATGGGTTTTAAGTACTTACCTCATTTTTCTCTTCAAGATCAACAAGACATAAATTTGAAGAGTCGTCTTTGGAAGAATAGGATTGATCATATTTACACAAGAAATAAGCGTGTTCATATATATTGCTTTTTTCTTGAGCTTCGGGCAATCATATTTTAAATGACTGAACTTTCTGCACTTTTATCATTTTGGAATGTTTGTTTTCTTGCTCTTCTTTAGCTCATGTTTCAAAACTCGTTAAAACATTCAATCAAAATATAATAAGAATCACTATCACTCTTTGAGCTACTTTCACTATCAGAATCATCAACCTCTATTCTTTAAGAAGATGCCTTAAAAGCGATTCCCGTTCTCTTCTTTACTACGAGAGTATGGGAGAGATGACTTTCATACGTGACAAGGTTACCTTGAAGATTGTCATACGCGATGACGTTGAAATCTCAACCTTCGTATATGCCATTCGCTTTGGCTTCCCATTCCTTGGTAAGACTTCTCAGGATTTTTCTTAGCAATTTTGTGTCTATAAAAGTCTTTCCAAGCATATCAATGTCGTTGATTATATTTGAAAATCTTTGAAACATGTCCTCCAAAAGTTCTTTATCTTTTATAGTAAACAACTCATATTAATGGGTTAGTAAATGATTTTTTTTCTTCAAGAACTTGAGGCGTACATTCATAAGTAACTATGAGTTTATTCCATATTTTATTGGCGGTCCGGCACCAGGATATCCTTTGATAGTCATTAGCGTTGACGACACAATATAAAAAATTAATAGTCGTAGCATTTAGTTGAGCCTTCTTGAAGTCAGCTTCATCATATTCATCTTCATTCTTCGGGATTAAAGTATCACCTACCTTCTTCATAGACAAGCTATCTCCGTTCTTGATAACAAGCCATAACTTAAAGTCATTGATCTGAACAAAAAATCCTCATATGTTCCTTCCAATAGGAGTAACTTGTTCCATCAAAAAAATGACGGTTTTACGGTGGATTGCCCGTCTTGAATGCTCGTGTTCAACATTCTCAATAAAATTTTGATCATTTTCTCAAACGTCACAAAGAGCGTTAGAGATATCTGCTCTAATACAAATTCTTAGTCGATGTGCACAACTCTAAAGGGAGTGAATATAGTTTGTTGAGAATATTTACCATTTTTTCAGTGTTTGTGTAAATAAATGAATGTGCAGTGGAAATAAATAAGAGAAGACAAAGAACACACCGATGTGTACTGGTTCGCACCTCGTGGCTAGTCCAGTTCCCCGAAAGACTTTCTCGAAGCTACCACTACCTATCAAGTTTAACCGGGTGCTTGGCAAACTGTTTACAACCTTAGAACTTAAGTCGCATAACCCTCAACACAACCGTTCATAGATATGCCCTCTATAAGACTTCACACTCAAAACTTAAGTCACATAAGTTTTGTACAATAATAAGAATAATCTTCTTCAACCTCACCACAAAAAATCTCACAATTAAACTTTGATCACAGATCATCAAACGACATGTGGTTAACATTATTATCTTTCAACACA